AAAACCACTTTCACACTTTACACACACAAAATTCCACATACAGCTTTGTGAGATTTTGTGTGTTTGTGTAGTTAGAGTGAAACACTACAGAAACACACAAAATCTCAGAAAGCTGCACAGATATTATTTTATTTTATTTTATTTTATTTTTATATAAAAGCAGCTAAATTTAAAACTTCCTAAACTTTAAATGGCTAGGTCTAAAAAAATAACGACTAAAAAAACCCCCAATTAACTATTTTTTTAAAGCTCCCAAAGGGGAAAAAAACTTACAGGCAGGCAGGCAGATAGAGCTGCTCACCGATGAGCTTGATTGCAGGCAGGGAGATTCAGTTGCTTGCTGATGCAATGGATTTCAGGGATTACAGCAAGCGAAGCAAGGCAGGCGTGCGAAGGTAAGCAAGCTGGAGGCTGGGGGGGGAAGGGATTTTTGCTACCGGTTCTCCCAACTGCCCGCCGCCATCGCTACCTACCCGCCCGAGCCGGTCCGAACCAGGAGCATTTCACCCCTGGACTCCCCCCTCACAGCCAGAAGCTCCTCCCACCAGCTTCTGTGAAGTTAAAAAGTAATGGAGACAAGTTTCACTCTGCCTTTTTCCTCTGTACTCATTCTCAGACTCCCCCCTCACAGCCAGCAGCTCCTCCCACCAGCTTCTGTGAAGTTAAAATGTAATGGAGGCAAGTTTCACTCTACCTTTTTCCTCTGTGCTCACTCTGACTCCCCTTTCACAGCCTACAGCTCCTCCCATCAGCTTCCAATATGTTAATTTTCATCATATGGAGATATGATGCCTATATGCCTAACCAACAGCCTAAAGTTTGCTTGTCAGTAGGATTTATATCTGAATAGGCACACCTAACATTATAAAGTACAAATTCATAAGCAAAATTGGTACCAACATATGCATCTATAATGATGATTTTAAAGTTATAGAACTAAAGTATTTTTGCAAGGATGCAGTAATACATGAGAGTTTAATGAGGAACAAAAAGAAAGAGTAGGCTTGTTACTAAGGATTAAGACAGTACAGAGCTTCAAAAGATACTTTATTTCAATAAAGGTTAAATTAAAGCTTCCCTTCAAAGCATTTTGAAGAAGAGAAGCACTCTTCTGCTTTTAAACAGTGGAATGGCTTTGCTTAACATGTGCAAGAAACCACTGTGTTCAAAGCAAATTGACCAGTTGCTTCTAATCATAAAGTCAAGGTGCAGCATGTTGCCTCCTGATTCTGTTCCAGGTGAGGCTATAAAATTGTATAAACATATAAAAAAAATACATAACTTATTTGTACAACTCTGTCATTTTTCATGGAGTGTTTCCCTGAGATAAAGAAAAATTGCTTCATGTATCCTTTTTAAGCATGTTTCTGCTAGAACAAATGAAGTATCAGGATAATTATTCATTATGAAACACAACAATATTTGAAAAGATTTAGTTTTCTGAAAAATTTCATCTGACTTACAAAGTTTATTAATTATATTACGTGTCTTAAACATCTAACCCACTCAAGAAAGCACATGTCAAGTGTAGCTTTTTTTAAAGGCTAATGCAGATAATTTATAGGAAGAGATAATTAAATTAGTATGTTTTAATGTGTTTTATGTCATATGAATCAGTCAAATCTTTCAGGTATATTTATAAAAAGTGGTGATGTTGTATTAGAGACTAATTTTTTATTTATACCGCTACTAGTGTGGGTTGACTTTAGAGGACTCATTAGCAATAGCAATAGTACTTAGATTTATATACCACTCCATAATGCATTCTCTAAGTGGTTTACAGAGTCAGCATATTATTCCCAACAATCTGGGTCCTCATTTCACCAACCATGAAAAGATGAAAGGCTGAGTCAACCTTGAGCCCCCTCAGGATTGAACACTAGGCTGTGGGCAGGATTTTCCTCCAATATTGCATTCTAATCACTGCACCCATTAGGTATTGATTATATGTATTATGTATTATATGTATTAAACACAATTTTGTTAGAGTATTTCTATCAAGTGATCGTCTTTCACATATCTTTCTTCAATCTAAGGTTGATGTGAAAATCCAGTGTAAACTGTGGGTAATGGTACTTGAAAAAGCTTCACAGTTCAAGTCAAGTTCAATTTATATGAATTTTTTAAAAAACCCTGGATCTATAAGATTTTCAAGGAATTAGAAATTAGAATGTATATTTTCATTTTAAACTGAAGTGTTTTTCCCACTAATTTTCAAATTGCCTTAGATTAGGCATAGTGTAACAACAATATTGTTCTATTTTTGTTTTTATTGTTAAAATCCAGTTATGTTATATAAAGTTTATAGTTTGGTTTATACTACACATTTAAAAATACTGATATAAAATTGTGAAATGGGACACTTTTAAGTCCCTAATTAAGAGATGATTCCAAGCTGCAAAAGAAACTGAGAATTAGAAAATGTAGGCATGCATTTTATGTGAGAGTTCTCCCTGAAATAATTTAAAGAATTCCTTTAATTCCTTTATACAAATTGTTCATATTCTCCCAAATATTACATAATTTAATATTACACTTTTAAACACATATACCCCCCCACCCCAAAAAAAAGCTTTCAGGTTTCAACAACAAACATATTTGTTAAAAGGAGAGATCACTGTACAGGAAAAGGATTTTTTTTTTAAAAAAAAAAAATCTAATTCTTTGGAATTCCCTCTTGGCTCCCCTAATTAACAGTCCTCATACATAAGTTGATTATTGCAAGCTGGACCTTACAAATCTAAGCAGATATCACAGGGATATCTCTACTAAATTAATCCCCTAGGGCTCCTCTGAATTTATGTCTTTTATTTACCTCTTTCTCACTGCTTCCTTTCTGTGTCAGATACAAAGTATAATGTGTTACATTCACATTAAATTTCCATTTTTTTAAAGTAGGATGGGTGCAGAAATTAAAGAACCAACTCTGGTGTTTTTTTTTTTAACTAAAATTCAAAAAGTGTACATAAATTAAGCTGTTACTGCCTTTGCTGGAAACTGAACAATTAGTTCTGATTTTCATGTCCTAGAATATTTAAGAAAGGACAGAGAAGGGGGAATAGTAAAGGAAGAAGAAAAGGAGGAAAAGATTTCTTAAAATCTTCATGAATCAGCCAAACTTGAAATAAATCTCACAATTCATTGTTGATCTACTCAAGAGATGGGATTACTTGAAGCAAGATGAGGCACCAGACAGAAAAGATTTTTGAGTGGCTAAAGCTTTTTCCTTTCTCTTACAACATATTCTCATTTTTGTTTAAGCCCTTAAAATGTGACAATAACTATAATCATAAATTCTTTTTAGGGGTTGGGTTTTTTACCCTGGTTTCCTAATACATGGCTGAGAAACTCTTAATGTCCTGTAGTTGTTTAACTTTCCATCTGTCTCCATATTAAGTGAAGGTTTTCATATCATGTAACTCTCCCAACACAGCACATGTCAACATTCTTCTAAATTCTTTCTGCTTGACTGTTTGTGGTTAGTTAAGACTATATGGAATTGGAAGCTCAAATTGTATCATTTTTATTATCCACAAGATATGATCAGGAAGGGAACAAGGCAGTGGGAGGCAAGGGAGCTGAAACTATCTAAATCAAACAGAAGAGGTCTGTGCTCTTGGAACATTATACTGAGATGAAGCAAAGTTGCAAATTTAGTTTAGCTTCAATGCGCTAATCAGGGAATGTCTGGCAAATGCAGATTTATTGGCCTATGTTGCACAAATAAAATTTATGTGTTGTTATTGTGGCCACTGTTGTTGCTGATGATGGCTCAGTATCACTTTGGAAGGAGGCATAAGAAAATAGCCACAACCATTGTTACCATATTATTATTGTGTTAATATGCTGAGCTTGTCAGCTGGAAACTTGACAGCCTAGGTTTGAGATTGGAGTGCTGAACAATGGAGCTAGCTCCATTACTCTCCTCAGCTACTGCAAACCTAGCAGTTCAAAAGCATGCAAATGTGAATGGATAAATAGGAACCAATGTTACTGCTTTCTGTATCTCTCAAGACAACACAGGCTCCCTTGGCTGAGAATCAGGGATGAGCACCTCCCCCTTGAGTCACTCACAACTGGAGAGGGGAAACCTTGAACCTTTATTGAAGTGCTTTTCTATATTTCACTAAGCAGAATAATTAAGGTTATAAATATTTACTTCATTAATGTTCAAAGTGTGATGAGGCAAACTATAAATATCTAATATTAGAACGTAAACGGAAACCATTATCAGCTCTACGGTGAAGTCAACTTCGTTACAATGCTCAGTTCATCAGATTATAATAAGAGAGAAAAAGAAGCAAGTACTACATCAAATATAGTGGGATTTTCTTCCATCAACAATAGCCATTGTTAAACAGAGAAAATTTCGGTGAGAATGCAATCCAATGGTTTGCAAAGAAGTTGCAGAATTAAATTGGCAATATTAAGCTATGTTTGTAAACTAAATTGTAAGACAAATGTTATTTGTTTAATGTATGTTCATTTAATAGCTTGGTATTCAGATCATATTTTCTGTTTCTGTTTCATTTTTTCTATTAGTATGCACTGTCATTTTTATGTCAATGGAAATATTTATTTATTGAATTAGGAATGATATTTAACAAACCTGGCAACTGTGAATATTTGGTGTATAAACTTTAACAATGCATAAACTTTAAGGATATACAAATAAGATAGACGTCATGCTTTTCTTGCAATCTAATTCTTCTAACTTGGTAGCAATTTCCTAGAAATAAAACAAGTTGCATATTTTGAGATGCAATTATTGCTTAGAAATTCAGAACTATTAATTATTCTCAAAAGACCAAACGGAAATGCAAAATAAGGTTCAATCGAGAATGAAAGGGGAATATCCATGCCTTCAAATTTCCAATGAAAACATGCAAATCTATTGATATATGCAAATTTAGCAAATTTGCATGATTAATTGTAATCATAATAGAATAGGTGCTCCAAAACACATGCAGTGCAAATCAGGCAGAAAAATGAAAACTCACCTTTAGCTTTGCTTTTTGTAGTAGCCACTGGGACCAAGGAAAAGATTGCAAGAGGAGAAGAGAATAGACAGAGGTTAGTCAGAAGCTCTGATGAAAGTATAGAGAAAGTTTCACGAACGGTATAGGACTAGTAAAAGCCAGATTCAAATACAGTATCTGTGTTATGTCATAATGTATATTTTTTTCCACCATATAATTTACCAAAATAAATGATGTCTAAATTATGTATTCTACATTGATGCCAATGTTACTTGAAACAGATGACTGGCAGCAGTAATTGCAAATAGCTATGCACCAAACTGCCATACAATTTGTAATTTAAATTATTTACTTTTTTAAAAATCAACATTTCAGTTTATCTATATCTATAGATATATATGTATTTATTTGCTATCCATCTTATTTGGATTAATGCATAATCAGGTGGATTACACATTAAAAGCATTAAAATCATAAAATAATGTATGATAAGGTTTTGATCTTATATGGCAGAACATTTTGATATTTATATTATTCCTTCTATATATGCTCATAATATCTCATAGATCTTAGGTTTTTATAAATTTTTGATTAATTGATAGGTCAGGAAAACAGTCATGAAGATGATAATAATAATACTGAAGCAATTATTTATTACTGCATATTAATTGGATGATTAAAAAAATCTGAGATCAGATCAAAATACAATTGTGGATCTTACTAGGTTGAGAGGGAAAGAGGTTCCCATTACATTATTCTAAATTTCTAAATTTCTAATTTCTAAAAGAAAGACAAAATATAATACGGAAACTAAATGAAAATGCTAGCAAATTTTTCTATGAATAATTAAAATATAGAAGAAAAGCCTTTATGAATTTTGGGGCAAAGTATAATAATACTGAAACTGGGAGACTGTGAGTTCTAATCCTGCCTTAGGCACAAAGCCAAATGGGGAAAAAATGGGAGAAAAATAAAATAGATTATTATACAAGCTGAACTCTTCTTTGATCACTAATACCATTTTTAACCCAATATGGAACTCTGATTTTTTAGCTGTGCACAACTCTTACAAGATTTTCTCATGGTCAATGCCAAGTATCATTTAGATCTATATGTAGTTTATATGATTTGTGCCAGCATGAACCACTTTATACATCTATACAATAAATTGTATTTATCTTTTTGAAGCCTTTTCACTCAGTTTGGACAGATCTTTTTAGAGTGTTTTACAAACTCTTTATTTTTGTTTTTATAACTGAACAGTAAACATGGTATCATTTTTATCAACATTAAGCATGGTGACTCCAGGTAATTTATTCATTTATAGTTACAATAGGTAGATTTTAAAAGACAAGCATTTATTCCAGTGGTGGGTTCTAAAATTTTTTACTACCGGTTCGGTGGGTGTGGCTAGGAGGGTGTGTGTGACTGAGTGCGTTACTCATGCACTCAGTCACATGACCCCCCCCAAGCCACGCCCACCGAAAAGGTGGCTAAAATTTTTGGGACTTTTTGAAACTTTTTTTTGACACTCCGGCCCCATATCCAGGTCGGGATGTGTGGGGTGGCGGTGGTCGTCTCGGATTTCCCTCCGTTGCCCTTCATGGACGAAAAGCTCCCCTTCTCGCCTCTGACAGGCCTTCCTTGTGGTTGCAGCCAGAGCAACCCACTCCGCCAGCTCAGGGCAACGGACTCAGCTGCAGCCCAGATGATCCAAGGAACTGTGGGGAGCTTCCCGCGTATTGCACTCCGTCCCAGCCTTCCCACTGCGCCTCCGCACCATTTTTGGGCACCCAGCTTACTGGGCTGCCCCCATTCCTGTCGCAGCTCCAACGGCGGTGGCTTCGGGAGACGCTGCAGCACGGAGGCGCAGGAGAAGCCTGGGAAGGGGATGCAACACACAGGAGGCTCCCAGCAATTTCTCAGCTCGTCTGGGCTGTAGCTGATTGAAGTGCTTTAGCAGCCATGAGCTGCGCTTTCCTCCAAGTCTCACAGAGAGAAGCACCTGTTTTCCTCTGCTGCCCACAGCGCTTAGAGGAAAGCACAACTCATGGCTGCTACCAGGCTGCCCCAGTCCCTATCATGGTTCTCCAAAGGTGGCGGCTTCGGGACATGCTGGTGGCACGGAGGCACGGGCAAAGGCTGGGAGGGGGGCGCAATACACGGAGGGCCAAGTCCACTCCCTTTCGCCTAATCACACTTGTTTACCTGTCCCAGAGAGCTCGGGCTACGGCTCCCTCCAACCCAGCTACCTTCCTTGCTGTCATCGCTCCTGAGCGAACTCTTCTGTCCTCGGCTGTTGCAAATAAGCTCTCAAAGAGACAGAAGCAGGCGTGGCGCACCCAGAGCTGCTGCTTCTTCGCAACAGCCGAGGACTTCTTCTGCTTGGAGCTCCAAGCTGTGGGGAGGGGGGGCAATGCCGGCAGCTTTAGTGGGCTCCTTCCCTCAATGGTTTGTTTTCTTTTACCTCACCTAGGCAACTTTGTCATTAAAGGCTACTCCATGCCTTTTGATCTTTCTCGGGCACTGAAAAAAGTGACCCTGTGTGAAGGGATTGAGCCTGCTGTTGAACTTGGAAGCCGAGAGGCTTCCTTTCCACCCAGCCACTGGCGCACAATGCCGGAAAGACCTCTGGTCGCTGCCACCATCTTCGCGCATGCGCAGCTTTGTTCTCATCAGCTGAAGGACTTTTTGGCACCCTGCAGCCAGGCGTATGAGAGGCTTCTTTGCTCCGGTCAGCTTCGGGTGGGTGAGCAAGCAGCAACTGGGGAACCGGTTTGGGGACGTGGCCTGGCTGCCCTTACTACCGGTTCGGAGAACTACTTCCTAAAGTTACTACTATTCGGTAGAACCGGGCCGAACTGGGAGCAACCACCACTGATTTATTCCAACATCCAGAAGACATTCTGCATATCTCACTTAGCACAACAATTGTTTATTTATTGCTCTGTCCTGTTCTTTCAACCTGATACCATTTTATGACAACACAATTCTTTTATTCCATGGAAGTAACTTTGTTTAGGAAGTTTCTGAAAGGTTTTTTGAAGTCTAAGTATGAGAACATCTTTCTCTGTTGTTCTGCCTATAATGTATCCATTTCCTAATTTTCTTTCTTGTTGTTGTTGTTATTGTTGTTGTTGTTGTTATTACAGCAGATTTTTCATGGGCTTCTTTGTCAAATATTTCATCTAAAACCTTGTTATATGGGAAGGTCAGCATTCAAAATGTGACATTTCTTCATCATGTATCCATAGAAACAATATCCTTGTAGGCCATGCCATTCTGAAATATATTGCTAAGAGGAGTATATGTAAGAAAAAAGCTTTTTTTATTTCATGCATAGACCTAAAAACTTGCATGTTTCTATTCAGATGCAGACCAGACAGAAAATATCTGACTGTGCAGGGGTGAAATGCTCCCGGTTCAGAGCGGATCGCCTGATCCAGTAGTGATGGCAGTGATGGGTGGTTCGGAGAACTGGTAGCAAAAATCCCTGCCCTCCCACCATGCCCAGATGAGCTGAGCGATCATCAGAGGCTGTTTTTTTTACTTTTAAAAGCATTTTTTCAACAACCTCTTTGGCCGAAAAAATGCTTTTAAAAGTAAAAAAAAGCCTCTGATGATCGCATGGCTCAGCTGGGATCATCAGAGGCTTTTAAAAGCATTTTTTCTACAACCTCTTCGGCCAAAAAAATGCTTTTAAAAGTTAAAAAAAGATCCTCTGATGATCGCGCAGCTCAGCTGGGATCGTCAGAGCCTTCTAAAAGCATTTTTTTCTGCAACCTCTTAAGGTTGTAGAAAAAATGCTTTTAAAAGTAAAAAAAAAAAAGTTGGCCACGCCCACCCAGTCACATTACCCCAACACCATCAAGTCATGCCCACAGAACCGGTAGTAACAAATTTTACATTTCACCACTGTGACTGTGCACAGAACAATATACACATATCAAACACCTTGCTTTGTTAAACAGTGTGATTGTTAACAATTTGACAATTACATGCGGTAGCCTGAAAATGATGACTCATTATTCTTATATATATATATTACAATATAAAATATATATTTGCAATTTACATTTAGCATATTGTAGCTTATTTTATGCTTTTTTTCTTTAATACTCCCACAGTGTTCATGTTAACTTTTGGAAACAATGTTGCTAAATTTATATGTCATGTTTTGAGTGCTTATGGCTAAGATCAAAGAAAATTCACTGAAAAAGTTAGAAATCTTCATGGAAAAGTTTTTCTTATCTTTGTCAAATCACTTTTGAAAGATGAAAGCAATAAAAATAATAAGCTTAGAAAATTATTTTTCAAACAAATCAAAACTCAGGTTTTGAAACTAGTCATATGAACAGTAGATCACTTTTATAATGTTCAAACGTTAGAAGTGTACACAGAGTAGAAAACCAGCTCTGAAATACTGAAAGTTTTGGATCAACTATGATTCAGCAGAAACAAAGCACCTAATCATTTGTGCATTTGTAGCTTAATTGGAAGCAAAATTGGAAATTGGAAACAATTTTATGTGTCTTGGGAAATGGTAAGATTTAAAAGCTTATTGTGTTGCAAAACCTTGAGGAACAATTATATATTATAATTCTTTGCTGACAGAAAACTCCTTTATTTCAAATTAGAGCTACAATCTGCCCTTGGGCTATACTGTAGGTCTCATAACTGAAAGCTGTGTGAAAAGAGATAGCTTGGCCCTTTGTATTTTTCATCTTTTGTACAAGATGCAACCAATATAGGAGACATCCTCTCAGAAAACATTTAATGAATTCTCTGGGAAACACAAAACATACTTTCTTGCCTAGTAATGATCACTTGTGTTGTACTGTAAGTGCTTAAGAACAAAAGAGTAATAACTCTTTTCTAATACTTGAAATGCTAAAGTGATAGAAGAACTGCAGCAAAGGGGTCAAACCTGTCTTTGCAGCAAAATGTATTATGGATCAACAATAAAGAAGAACATGATGAAAAAACTCTTGCCTAATATTAAGTAGACAATCAGGCCAGAAGGTTTTTGATTATTATTTTTAAATGTG